GTCCTGCGGGAAGGGAATGGGAACTGTGAATGAATGAATAAAAGGTACGGAAGTCGTGTAGGAAAGAGTGAATGAGAAATTAATTAATGAATAAAAGATAGGAGGAAATAAATGGATGAAAACTGATTGAATTAATAAAAGGTACGGAAGTCATACAGGAAAGAGTGAATGAGAACTGAATGAAAGAGTAAAGGATAGGAAGAAATAAAGGGATGAGAAGTGATTAAATGAATAAAAGAAAGAGAAATACATCGACAGGAAAGGAGTGAAGGAATAAAAGGAATGGAGGTCCTGTGGGAAATAAATTAATGAAAACTGAATGAAAAACGAACAGGCATGGGTGTAAGAAATGAGTAAAAGAGAGGTACATGGATGAATAAAGATGAATATGGCGCGGAGTAAAAAAAATATTGTATATATTCTACGGAAATATTAACATTTATTTTTATAAATTACTTCCTAAGCGCATATCAAATTTCTTAATTATTAGGCCACGTATAAATAAGTTCATCAAAATATGACGTTTATGTCCATATCACAGAAAGATATAGAAAAAAATCATACATAATACCACCAAATATGGGTGATTATCGGCGCTATATAAATTTCTAACCCGATTTCATAAACAAAAAAAAACAAACAAGAAAACAAGAGAGAGCAAACGCTAAAAGAAAGGCATAAAGAAAACACAGGAAACCACTCATTGCAGACACGCGCAACACCATCATATTACATCATCTGATATTCTCACTACGCTTAGGGATTTCTCACATAAATAAGTAACAATAATAATAAAAAAACAGACGAATAAATAAAGAAAGAAAAGAAATAGAGGAGGAAGAACCGATAGACAGGAAATTACTCATTAACAGACGCGCATTGTCATGACATTCTCACATTAGCTGATATTCCCGCTACTTTCCGAGGAGAGGAGGGGGGCTTCCTCACATAAACAAATTAGAATATGTAAATATAAAACAAGAATAAAATAATTCTAGTAAGCAAAGAAGTGGCACACAGGAAACCCCTCATTACAGACGCGCGCATCACTATCAGCTACTAAGGTTAGCTGAAATACGCGCTACTTTCAAGAGGCACGTGTATCATCATCATCATCACATACATAAGCTGTTACACGCTCTTCTCCTGGGCTTATCTCATACAATTAAATCAAAACACACAAGAATATATCAGAATAAAGGAAATGCAGTAGAAAAAAGTGTGACAGATACGAAAAAATACATCCATCCGCTGATACACGCGCTTCTCAGGGGCTTTTCTCAAATATATAACACAAATAAATCAGAAAATACAGGAATACACCAGAATAAACGAATTGCATTAACAGACGCACATCACATCCACCAGCTGATTAATACACGCTCTTCTCAAACAAATAAATCAGAACACACAAGAATAAGAATAACAGAAATGCAATAAAAAAAAAGAAAGAGTGACAGATAATAGATACGAAAAAAAAAACACTCATTACCAAACACGCACGAAAAAAAAACACTCATTCACAAACACGCACATCACCATCACAAACTTACCTCAGCTGATAATCGCGCTATCCTCCTGGGTTTCTCACTTTCCCATATCCAACTACCCACGTGACTCCCGGTGAAGGTGTAGATTACACCACACAGGCTGACGAGGCCCAGGAATGCCAGCGATTTGAGTCTGACCCTTAGTCTCATGATGTCTTCTGTGTTAATACGATTCCCTTCTCATCCTTTGCTTCTTGACATTGTATAAGTTCGTCGCAGGTCGCTGGGTTTCTGTTCGGAGGAGAGAAAAAAGGGGAGTTTAGTGGAAATTGATGATGTAATATAGTTATTTTCTTTTTCACTCTCTTTTTTTTCTTTCTTTCATTCTAATTTTTCTTTCTTCCGTCCCTTATTTTCTTCAAACCAAAAAGCCTGATCATAATATTGTCTTTCTCGCTAACAACGTGATAGATGAATCTGCTGAAAAATGGAAGATGCTTTGGGAGTGAACAGCACATAACCATGGCTGTAGTCACCCTGACCGTTACACTGACAGGGGGAGATATAATGGTAGACTTTCATACCATATGGCGGAAACATGGATATGGTCTTTTGTTTCAGTATACGCGCGTGCATGAATGTGCAAATGTATATGTATATATGCGTATATGCATGTCTCTCTACGTCTATGTACACGTGGATGCATACATGCACTCGCGCACACGCGCGTGTATGTGTGTGTGTGAGCGTAGAAGTACATACGTTTATATGTTTATGAGTATATATGTATGTTTATAGGTTTATGAGTGTATATGTATGGTTATAAGTTTATGAGTATATATGTATGTTTATATGTTTATGAGTATATATGTATGGTTATAAGTTTATGAGTATATATGTATGTTTATATGTTTATGGGTATATATGTATGTATATGTATATGTATAAATGTATGCAATGTACGTATATGTATATGTGTATTCCTGTACGTGTGCATTCTGAATGCGTCT